CGAGCGTGTGGAAGCCATGAAATGATCCCGCCATTCGTGCCCGGGATGCGTGCGGGCCACTATCCCCTGTCCACTTCGGGCTCCCAGCTCTGCGCCCCCCTGCCGCACTCTCCTTGGGACACTTGTCTCTCGACTCTCTACCCCAGGCCCTCCGGAGGCGCCCGGACCGCCTTCTGGGGAGGTCCCCAGAGTATTCTCCGTGGGCGACCTGCGCGGCGAGGGAAGAAGGGATTTCAGAGACGGGACACAAGGGGGCTTCCCTTGAAGGGGGTGGCGACTGGAGGCGACGGGCAAGGGAGCGGGTGCCGAAGCGCAGACCTCTGCTCCACTGGGGGGCCCCACGGGCAGAGTTGGAAACTTTTCTCCCACGTGGTAGCACCACGCGTTGCCGAGTGACCCCGTACCCTGAAGACTTCTGGACCCTCCTCGCCTTCAAACCAGGCGGCCTGGCGGCTGCGGAGCAGGCAGCGCTGCCGGGGTGAACTTGAACCTGGGGCAGTGAGGCGGTCGCCGCGGGCGAGGGGGCGGGGCTGGAGAGGCCGCGACAACTCCTGACCCAGCGCCTCCGGACCTGCAGACACAGCCCCCACCTCAGCGGGCTACCTTTAATCTGGGTGAGGAGAAGGTCTTTCAGGCTTTTCCAATCACTGCCCCTCCTCTCGCTGCAGTGTAGCGGGTGCTTACAAAAAGTTGTACTAAAAAGCTTACTGCAGCCAAGAAACCAACAACAAAAGCGACTAGCCTTTCTGGGTAAAGTAGCTGTGCGTTTTTCAATCACTGGAATTTATTTACTCAGATCCGAAAGACGCCAACATCCCTTTCTCACCAGCTTGTTGGATACCCGCTTCGCTTTCCATCCAGACACATAAACACCGTCACGCATCACCCCTTACCCCAGTAACCTACACTTGGGAGGAAGAAAAGGAAAATGAACTGACATTTGTTAATTGCTCACAATGGGCTAGGCACACACCAGATGCTTATGCACGACTTAAATGGGCACTTTTATTCTTTTGTATTACTGGAAGGAGATAGTAGAGAAAAGAGAAAACAGTAAGGACATGGCAACCTAACATACCCAAGATTTATTGAGTCATTCGTTCATTTCTTCGTTTAACAATCATGAGGGCCTACTATGCACCAAGCACAGTTCTAGGTACTGTGACTACAGTGGTGCACAAAAGGGAGAAGGTCCTTCCTCTTGAGTCTTATGTTCTAGCAGGCAAGCCTCACTTATCTTGTACTTCCTGATGATAATTTAATGGTTGTTCATTCCCTTAAATCACACTCTTTAGCGTCCCCATTTCTGGATCCCAGGTCTGAATCTTTATGAAATTGAGGTACAGGACAGGATGGGAGGGATGGAGGGAACCATGATACAAGAGCAAAGAGGAGAACCACTGAAAAGTGAATAACACTTGACCTTTCTGCCCATCCAGGGAACAAATCATTTGACCTTAGGCAAGACTTTTAAATGACTAGTTTTCTCATCAGTAAAATCAAAGAGTTTCAATTAAATGTTCAAAAAGTTCCCTCTCAGGTCTACCACTGGCCTCAAAAGATGGCATCTTTTCCAGTAGACTGTGTGCTTTATTTCTTGAGAAATAGTGACTGATATGTGGGATCTGATTCAATTTATTAGGAACAGGGTGCACCGTCCAAAATTACCTGCCTAAGATAACCAAGTCCGCTGCCCCCGGAGCAATGAGCTAAAACATTATCTCTATACTAAGTGTAGCATCTGTATTTACTTCTAGGATGCTGTCCTATCAGCTACTGAAATCCAGGCGGAAGTTATCAAGTTCATGCCTACTAAAAAAAGCAAGTTCTTTGTGGTTTAAAGCAAGGATATGGGCTCATTTTTAAGGTTTTTAGGATTGTGGAAGATGTAGATACTGGTAAGTTTCAATGAAAACTAGGAGCTAATTTTGCAATTATAGTCACTTCTCAACAACTTTGGGGGTTGGTTTGAGGAAGGTGTGAAGTTGACAAATATAATAAAAAGTATAATATTATTGACTTTCCAGAGTAGCCCTTGAAAATCTTATCTTTAAAGAGTAATGCCTGGCAGGGGGGGGGAAAGTATGGTAATGTATTGCATTCAAGAACTATATTCCTGGCAAGAGTAATTTGCAAATGCATTTTGGGACCATGTTTAAATGTATTTTTTTCAGGGTCCAACTGTAATTTTCACTAGGATTGGTAATGCCTTTTGGGTCAGAGTTTCAATTTCCTTCCATCAGAGAATGAAAATTGTTTGTGGACTATATTGCCCATATTTGTTTCTAATTCTCCGTATTACCTAGGTTGCAAGAGCGAATGATTAATACACACCATAGCTAAGCACTGACTATATGCCAGGCACTATTCTACGTTGCACTAAAATAATGTTTTATTATACCTATTTTGTGGTAGATTAAACTGAGGCTTGAGATGGTTATGCATAGGTGGCGTAGCTGTTTAGTGGTAAGCTGAATTTGGTCTGTGTGCCACTAAAACTTGTTCTCTTAATAGTTACGCTGAAATTCTTAGAATGATTCCTCAAGAAATCAAATGCTATGTATATAGTACAACCACTTTGGAAAACTGGTAATATGTAGTAAATTTAATCTTATGAAAACCCTATGGCCCAGCAGTTCATTTCCTAGAACTACACCAATGTCAAATGTATACCAAGAGATACCTATTAAATAGCTCAGAGCAACACTATTTATAACCCCCAAACTGGAAACAACCTGAATGTTCATTAACAGAAAAATAGATAAATACCTGTAATTGGTGCTATTTTAATCTATTACATAACAGGATACTCTTCAACACTAGTATCCTGAACAGTCTGCTTCCAAATGCAGTAACATATACAAATCTCATAAATATAATGCTAAGTGAAAGAAGCGAGACGCAAACAGGCAAAACTCATTTATGCTATCAGAAATCAGGATAATGGTTACCCTTGATGGGAGCTAATGACTGGGAGGGGATATAAGAAGGGCTTCTGGGGAGTTGCTCATGTTCTCTTTCTTAGGATTTGGTGCTGGTTGCCCATGTGTGGTCAGTTTGAGAAAATTCAGCAAGCTGTACCATTATAATAAGTGCAATTTTCTGTATGTATATCATACTTCAACAAATTGTGTACATATGAGGACCTATATAATACTTTATTTTTTTTATGTATTCTTAACACTACCCAAATGCCCAACAGTAAAATGGATTTAAAAAGCTATGGTTTATTTACACTATATTATACAGCATTAATATACAATGGAATACTGTATAGTAAACCAAAATAAAGCATAGTCTATCTCCAGATTTCTTATTGGGCAGAATGAAAGATAAAGCTTAAACTTAAAATGGTCAGTTCGAATGATAATAATTCACATCAGCAAAAGCTTTGGTGACTTCTTTGCCAAAAGATTGCAGCAGATAAAGAGTAAAACTAAAGAAATAACTCCAAAGGAGGTTTCTTGTTTAGTAGGGAAAACACTCAAGTGGTTCTGGAATACACAAAGGAAAAAACTTACATCTGTGTTCAGGAATAAACTACTTAACCCAGGAGAGCCTCTCCAGTTGTGCAATCTTTTATTTGAATCAATGATTAACACTCAAACTACATCTTGAACACTCAACCTTGACTAGTCAGAGAATACTATTATAGCTCAACGACTGAACTGAACTCTGAGGCTTCCACCAGCAATAGCTATTTTTGGTATCAGATTTTCTAAATTACTAAATTTTTATATCCCTATAATTCTTGCACTCTCAACTCTGCCAACATGGTAATTATTAATACACCCTTCTTGAAACAACACCCTGGTATATAATATTTGAATTTAATTTTTTAAGAAAATTGATTTTTAACTCAAGGCAGCTAAGGCTTATGTTTTGGTCATTTATAACTTTCACTTGTGTGTGTCTGCCCTGAGACCAAGGTAGACTGAGGTGGTTAATGGTTCTATCTCTATGTCATTTTCAAATGAGCAAATAAAGAGACTAACACATTTAACATCCCTTCTTTAACCCTCGTAAGTTGTTTTTAATAATAACTATTCCTGGGGAGAAGTGATAGCTTGCACTAACTGACAGGTAGCCCATTAGCAATAACATTGTTGTAACTTTCCTCTAATTTTCACCTGCTGTTTTAATTTTTTTACTGCAGTGGAAGTTGTTTTTCAAACTGCAGTTTTAATGTTCAAAAAAGGGGCAGGGGGAGGAAGTCTGTGGTTCAATTTGCTAAATGTGCTGTTTTCCATAATATCGTAACATAAACTTTCATCATCTCTGCAGGTGCCACTGATGAATGACACATTGATCAACAGGTATTCTTCAGACTGCCATATGAAGCCAACAAAAGATACCTGCTGGTGACCAAATGATAATCATGTGAAAAAGACAGTTCTGGCATATTATTTAATAAGCTTTAGATTTTCACAAAACTAACTAGTCTTCCTATTCCTTCCTTTGGGCAATGCTTTCTACTTGAAGATTCATTTGACATGATCAAGTGGGAAAATTGGTGGATAATCATGAAAAAAAAAAGCTGTAAAGGACTTTTGAAAGCTACCCATGGGAGAACTCCATGTTTATTACTGATTATAACTCTGAAAGTCAATTTCTCCTTTGGATTTGGTAGATGACTTGTGATGAATCTTGATTTTATTTTTATATGAAGAACAGCAGAGATCTAAAAGGCTTAGATTCAGATAAGATAACATCCTGGTTGAGAAATTATCAATCCTTTGGCATTACATGACGAATATAATATATTATAGCCCAGACCTAATTGCAAGCTCCTATTTTTTTAAAAATATATATATATCTTTACTGATTTCAGAGAGAGGAAAGGAGAGAGAGAGAGATTAACAGAAACATCAATAATGAGAGAGTCATTGATCAGCTGCCTCCTGCACACCCCTGACTGGGAAACGAGCCTGCAACCTGGGCATGTGCCCTGACTGGGAATCGAACCCTGATGGCCTGGATCCTAAATCGATGCTCAACTGCTGAGCCACGCCAGGCTGGGTGCAAGCTCCTATTTACAAAAACCTAGCAATTATTTTACATTTCTGCTGTGTTCAAGGCTGTTTGTAGTCTTGTCCCAGTTATGTTATCAACTGCATAAATATTTCCATGCATCCTAAGCTAGCTCTGGCCCAGAACACTTCTATGCCCTTGCCCATGCTGGTCCATCGCCCCAGAATCTCCTTGCCTGCCATCTGGACTCACTGAATGTCCGCTCATCCATCACAGCCAATTTATCCATCATGGCCAACTCGTTCGAAAAGCTTACTCAGATTGCTACTTCCATTCAAAATTAATAGCCTCTTTTCTGCTTACATGGCACTTTAATTTGTGTATATTTTAATGTATTATTATATATTTCAAAATAATATAATGACTAATTATGTACCTTAAGAAATGAAACATTTCCCCAATACTTTAAAGTACCTCCTCTGGAATTGTGTCTTCCTCCCTTCCCACTCCCACCTGTCAGGGATCATTACCCTGAATTCCATGTTTACCATTGCATGCATTTCTCTATATTGTTACTTCATTGGAAGTATCCCTAAACAATATATAATATTATTTTGCATGTTTTAAAATTTATATAAATGATATCAGTCTATATGTATTTTTCTAAAACTCATCTTATATAGTCCATGTTTTATTTGTGAGAGTTGTTGTTGGTACATATAGTAGTTCTTCTGCATCCATTTTCATTGTTGCCTAGCACTCCAGTGTATGACTATTCCATAACATATTTATTTATATCTTGTCGATAGCCATTTAAGTTTTTTTAATAAATATATCTTTATTGATTTCAAAGAGAGGAAGGGAGAGGGGGAGAGAGAGAGAGAGAAACATCAATGATGAGAGAGAGTCGTC